ATATCACATAGGACCAGAATTTTCTAAATGAAAAGTCCCGGCATTATCTGAGAATTCTCTTCATGACAACGTTTTATAATTCAATGCTATAATTTGTTGTGCAAAGGAAGCGCGCGCTTTGATCGTCGTGGATATTGAATGAGTGCAAATTCTCTTGCAAAATTGTGAAAAACTGCAGAATTATAGGTTTAAATAGGGCAAAAAAGAACAAATTCTGTCCGAGGTCTGTATGATAAAAAAGGGCCTCAGAGTACTGTTTACCTAAGACGTGATGAGAAAAAGTATGTTTAAAAGGCTGGTTTACACGCCACCAGATTCGTCGCCAAGATTTACTAGTAAACTAAACTTGTCGAACACGAAAAATCTGGCCTGATTTTTTATTTTGGCCTCTCTTTTAGACAGAGGAATGCAACGTGTAAATTGGCTGCCACCAAGGACTATCGTGGCGCGTGTGTTTCTTAAAACTATATTTCGGGGTTGTCCATAGTCTCTCTAACGGAGCAATGTTGGAGAGACTGGTGAATGCCACATTATGATGCAACAGCTAATGCAAATACAATACTCGAATAGGTCTATTTGTTTTCCAGGCCTAATCTTCTGTGATCGAACATGATTGCTATTTTTGGGTGTACAAATAAGACTATTTAATAACTCGATGTAAAATTTGTTTCACTCTTGGACTGTTAAATTATTTTTTCTCTAAAATCACTTAGCCTTTGCCTCAAAAGTCAAATGAATGTGCCCTGATCTGTGGATTACAAGTTTATTGTTTGATTTAAATTATGAATTTATTAATGGGAGCTTCGCTTTTAGCCCTGGCTAAATCTATATATTAAAAGTGTTTTTGAGGAGTCCATCTGACAAACCCGTTAAGAAATTAACTATACGATGTTTTATTACAGATTCACTCCACTGCATAACAAGCAAATAATGAAATGAAATAAGCTAACACTACTTTAACAAACAAACAAACAAACAAACAAAAAAAGTTGTGGAGAAGGAGACAACCAAAAGCACCAATGCGCCATACTAGGGATGCCCCCACTAATTAACATATAAGAAAAATATATACAAATAGAATGGAACGGAAATAGCAGTATCAGTTTCAAGTGCCATTAATGACACCTACAAATAGCCGGTCAATAAGCAGTCATTAACATGACAAGACCATATGGGCATCACGACATGGTAGCGAAAAAATTGTTGTTTGCTTTTTTTTTTTCGTTTTGACCTAACGCCCATATTCAAATCATGCCATAAATTAATTCTGTTTTTTCAAAACTGTGAAGTTAAATAGCATAGAGGCTGACAAAACATCATACACTAACGGGGTAAAGCACAGTCACCGTACTGCGTAAGAATTACCAAATGCTAGTCGAGGTAAGTGACTGAATAAGTTTTCTCATTACCACAAATTTTCGGTGGACTAAATTCCCGCTGAATTTATTCTCCGAAAAAAGAAAATTTTAAAATAAGCTACGTTAAATTTAAGAAATGATTAATAGAAAAGTTGAAATGCGACGAATACTAGATTTTCATTTTTCATTGGTTCTGTTTATAAATACGACTTTTACTAGGCCATTATCGTAAAATCACACCACTGCGAAAATAAAATAGTACCAATAAGGTGCTGTTCTAGAATGGTATTCTGGAGGTAGGTATCTAATCCCAACTCTAACCTTAAAGGTAGCTCCAAAATACAGTGACGTAAGACTAGTCAGGTGGCTACAAAGTACAGTTTTTTAAATATAAAATATACTCCTACCTTACGACCTGTGGACGCAGCTCCAAGTAGGCTACGCCGAAACACATGCTAGAATTAAGCTACTTATGTATTCAAGTTCTTAATATGTCACGTAATTATCTTTTCCCTGAACAATAAAAGTAGTAAGATATATAAGCATAATTGCGGTGTACCACAAGGGTCTGTTCTTGGGCCTCTGTTATATGTTTTGTACACCTCACCAGTGGCTGATATCATAAAGAGACACAATCTTACATACCATCTCTATGCTGATGGCACTCAGCTATATGTGTCATTTAAATTAGGAAGTGATGATCTTCTCTCCTCAGCAAAAATACGTGTACAGGAAATTCAATGATTCTTAGTGGTCTAAGGCTAAATGAGGAAAAAACCGAGCTGCTTCTACTCAGTTCATGTTATCGGCCCAGTCCTTCATTGGAATTTGTTCGTGTTGGGGGTGACAGTTCGTTATCTTGGAGTGATACTCGATCCCAGTGCTGATATTGAAGACCACATTAAAAAGATATGCAAGACGTCATTTCCATTTAACTAATATTAGTAGGATAAGAACATGTATTTGGATCGTGAATCTACTGAAGCAATTATTCATGCTTTCGTGACTACCAACTTGGATTACTGTCAGTAATGCGATTCTATATGGACTATCTAAAGTTCTCTTAAACCGTCTACAGCTAGTTCACAAATAGAGCAGCGCGTATCGTAACATTCACCAAGAAGTATGAACATATAGCACCCAGCTTAATAGACTTACATTGGTTGCCTGTTGAATATCGTATTATTGATAAAATCTCATTGTTATTATATAAGGCTATCAATGGATTTTTACAGAAGCATATAACCCCGAAGCGTCTAAAGCGTCTAATCAGCAAAATGCGTTTGCAGCCTCTTTGACCGACAAAGATCATCCGCAGGCTACTAGCTGCAAACCTATCTACCACGCCAAACCAGTTATCTGTAGCTTCTGTTCTCATTCAGCAAAACCAGCATGGCCACTACAAACAAAATGATATGGCAAACTTTGCATGAACCTTGTACAAGGCGTCGACCATGTCGGAACGGAATCTTTTTTTGTGAGTGTAGATCTTTTAATTCATTCAGAACAGTACGCGAACAAAAGTATGGCAGTTTTGATTAAACGTACTTTTCTAAACTGCGACCAAGTCAGCAGCCGTTTTACAGAATATTCAGGTAAACTAACATTTTACACATTATGCTCAAGTAAAGTACGATATTGAAAGGAAATTTATGTATTTACAAAAAATCGGGAAATGCGCCCGATCTGAGACAGATAATTTGTGCTCAGCCGATTTTACTTGTGGGAACGGATCCTGAAGTTATGGGTTTTCGAATAAAAATTTTCATGAAACAATTTGTCTGTTTATTGTTTTCTGTTTGTCCATTCATAGCATTAGTTGAAAACATGATCTCCGCATCTAAGTCTTTAATATTAACTTGTGTTTCATCCTTCTTATTCAGTGTCTTATTACACGCATCACTTCTCCGAAGGTGTACTTTCCAGTTCGGCAAGTAGTGAATTTTTTTTATATATGTGTTACTAGTTATTCTAGATAGATAGTAAGTGGTTTTTGAAAGGTTATTTGCGCTAATGGTCAGGCAAAACCCGTTTTTGAAGTAACAACTTTAAGAAATCGCTTCTCTTTTACCGGTAATACGGTGCATGTCATTGGTAGCGACTTTGTCTTGTTAGGAGGAACTAACTCAGTCTTGGTCATTTGATGATTAATACTGTATTCCGTTTTTTGTCAAATGTTACCTCGTAAAACAGTAAATGCTTTTTGCACCGCATCATTTACGTCGCGATACAAGTTTTCCTTTAGAGCACTCGCACGACAATCTCGTTTATCAGTAATTCCATATTAGGAAGTAAATTTTGATTGGTTCCCTAAAAAACCCGAGCATTGCGGCAAAGTTATACGCTTCGGGGTTATATGCTTCTGATTTTCACCGAGTTATATATCCAATTTGCTCAGTTTTTGTAACAGCTCGTTCTCTTTGGTTCTTGCTCGAATAAGTTACTTTAAGTCCCAAGAACTAAGCTTAAGTCTTACGGTGATCGAAGATTTTCTATTGCAGGACCTAAATTATGGAACAGCATACCAGCACCTTTAAGAAATGCCAATTCCTTGAATTCCTTCAAGGAATTTATTTAATTTGCATACTTATATATGTGGTCGTTAGATTTTCTGAGTTATAGATATATTTATGCCCCTGGACAGTTATTTTTTATATCAGTATTACCAATTATTTTTATTCCTATTGTTGTAATTTATTTGTATGGATAGAAGGACAAATAATCCGAGCACTTCTACTTTTATACACACCAAGAACCGCACTATAATCTTATTGGTCAAACAAACACTGGTTGTCTGTTCATATGCCTCAACATAAAAAAACGTTAGGTCTAGACGTGTATATTGTTTGTCTATAACTTAAGTTACTTCTACTCATCATCATAACTATGAGTTTTCGTTAAAAGGATTGTGTATAACATATTCCCACTACTCGTTCAAACATATGCAAAGGAGCATTGTTCTCACTGCACCAGGATATACCCCATTGTCTTGATGCTCAGTCTTTTTCGTTTGTGGTTATCCAAATTTCCACATGTATTGCCCCTATCATCGAAGTTCCCTCCACTTCCAAACCCCAATCTGGAGTTACATTCATAGCAGTCATTTTTATCGTTGCCGAGAATACCGATTCTTGTTTTGGACCGTTTATTCAAGCTACACTGTGCATTGAACCCTTCCTTTTTACATTTAAGCTGCAATGAGGCATTAGAGCCAATCAGCGACATCCACTTGTCACGACCCAGTGAGGTGTTACGGTATTTCCCATCAGCGATCAGAGAGTACAAGGAGTTCGCCTGCTTGTGAATGACAATAAAATTGATCTCGTTTTTGATTTTCATACCGAGGCAGATCTTGGTGAAGGACGTGTTCCAGTAGGAGGGTAGTTTAGCCTCCTGTGAGTCAAACCCAGTCTTCCCTCCGTCAAGATTGAATGTTTTGCTGTTGTTCCAGAGGTAGGAATTGTAGTGAAAAGTTTGCTGTCAGAGAAAAATGGGAAAAATTGTATAGGAATGAAAATTGAGAAGAAAAATGGCCCTGTTACTTTTAAGAACGGGCTCTTTATTAATGCCCGGTTTTAAATACTGATATTGGGCTTAGGATAAAATAGGCAACAAAAATTCAAGCCTATAGAATAATCCAAAGTGTTAAGTGGAAGAGTTACATGGAGTTACAAGAGGCTTCTGCTCCAACCAACGTTTTGTCAAGCGCTTTTTTAAGCGTGAGAATTAAGGGGATTGAACTAAGATAAATGCATTATAACTGGCAACAATGTCTGACTCATTGTTTGCCGGTCACGGTTACATATTCATTTTGAGCTGAACCCGCTATTCACCGTATTACAATGCCCTCTCTTTTTGCTATGTTTATCAGATTGCCGATATCAGGTTTAGTAAAATGCCTCTAATCCTTTTCAGATAACTGATAATAAGTTATTTTATTTCCTTCTGGAGCGAATAAGTTGTCAATAGAGGGAAATGTACCGTTCGGTTACCTTAGGAAGGAGTAGAAATCAACTAATAGGCCGAAAAAGAAATCCAAAAGCAACCATTCTCCCTTGAAAAATATCCCATTCACGCATTCAAAAGAATATCTGTCATAAACACAGCTGTTATTAGCAGAATATCGGGAACAATTTTCATTTGGTAAGCTTTATTTGATGAGATTAGTACTTGAATCTGAAGGTACCTTAGTACCATCAGTCTTCATGACCAGAGTCCATGCTCCATTTCCACATGTTTCATTTTCAGAAGAAGAAACGGTCATGTGACAGTAAGCCTTAATGACCCTATTTCCCATTATCAGTGGGTAGGATTTGCTCTCATTTGATCTGAAAAGAAATTTATTATAAGTACTTGTTAATGGAAATTTCGGCATAGCATGCTTAAACCGCAAAGCTATTGCCTCAAACGGGCCGAGCAGCACCTCACTGAAACGCTCACACAATTGGCTGAGAAAACAATAGAAACGGTGACATAAGAATGTCCCTATCCCCTGAAAACAAAAGGAAATATTGTTTTAGTCGACCACTGAAATCAGACGTTAATGTGAGGTACTGGACTACTGCCTCAAACGCGCAATCCTTTATCATAAAAAAACGGTAGGTTAAGCCACTTATTTACCGTACTTTCATTTGTCACATTAGCCCCTTTTAGTTTAATTTCTTTTATTTAGTTTTCTTTTCATTTTTCTTTTCTTTCTTTGTTATAAATCAAGAGTCAACATGTGGCTACAAATGTATCGGATGGCTAAACATTTTAAAAAGATATGTAACCTTTAACTCACATTTTCTTGTCAAATATGTCTTTACACGAAAAAGCTGTATTGCAAAACAAAATAAAAAAACTGAATCATGCACTGAATTGTCACAGTTTCTGTTAAATGTTCATATAGGTTGGGTTAAGCCAAGCTTTCTTCAGTTTGCTGAAATGGCTTATCTTCAATGCACCTTGAAATACGTAAAATGATAAATTGGTATTCTTGTTTTACCATAACATTAAATTCAGTATTTTAAAATGTTACATTTTCGCTAACTTCCCCTCCCCCCCCCCTCAAAAAAAGGGGGGAGTCGTAAAAATGCTGGTCAAGATATCAATGGATAGATAGAATATTTATTTAAACTGACTTACAACAATAACACACTGGTGCTAGTTTGAACGAGCTAAAACTATTGAAGCCAAATACTAAATACAAAATGCCTAAAATACAATATAAAACTAATATAAAATAAAATTGAGCTGCATAAAAGATATGATGACGACTGCATAACCCCAAAGTCAATTTTGAATATTAGGTTTTTAAAGAAACTAAGTTCCTAAGATAATCTAACATTATCTTTAGGAGAATTCCTTAATTTAAGGCCTAAATATCTGTAATCGATTTTAGTCCATATGATGTTGTCTTATATTTGGGAAGAGACAAAATTGATATGCGACCCCCTACAACCATTTGGTACATAGATAGACCTCGTATGGGACGGTTGCTCGCTCCGTTTTATCTTCTCCTGGAAATGATCTCCAATTATAGTGTACTTCTTTTCCCATATTGCTAACAAACTGAATATAACCGCGACTGTTTCTGAGTCATATTACTGTAGTTCTTACTGACTTTAAGTTTTAAGTAAGGTTATAAGGACATCTACAAACTCACCTGGTTCACAATTCTTTCCATCTCCGTAATATCCCGGACGACAAGTGCAGTTGTATCCTCCCTTGGTATTATTGCAGTAAGCATTGGCACCGCAGTTGTGAGTATTTCTTGCGCATTCGTCTATGTCTATAAAAACAGATTATAATCAGTCCACCTGATGGTTATATTAATCATAAGAAACTCGTGAAAACACAGTTTATGATCAACCCATGGCCAGTCAGAAGAAATACTCGCAAAAAGCATTGTTGGCAGAAACCTTTTGATATGAGACAAACTCTAAGTACCTATTCTAGGAAATATTTAAAAAGCAGAGGACTCAGGTTAAAAATTGCCACATACCAGCATTTCCGGCTCAATTCTAATTCGATCCGAAATGT